TCAGAATGGAATACTGGAGAACAGTGGCACAGAGGTGGATCAATGGTGGATCACTCCACATAACAGAATGCAGAAGCCCATTTATGAAAAAATTGCTGTAGAGAAGAAGATTAAGAAAGATGATTGTAAGGTAGGGCAAAAGTCCCCATCAGTTTATGGATGTACCCTGGACTAAAACCCTCTGAAGACATAAGTCTGTGGAAATTAAATTGGACTAAAATTCACTGAACTTTTGGACTCATGAAGGCATGGACCTCAACCGAACCAGGAAAAGGCTGGTTGGGGCACACTGAGTAATATGCAAGTCCAGGGGCAGATGTCTGGAACAGGGGTTAGCCTGCAAAACTAAAGGACGACCCCCATTCACGCCCCAGCTTAAAACAATGGAAGGCAGACTGCAGGAGACAAACAACTTTAGACCTTCTGGAGCCTACAGAGGTACAAAGCCATTCAATTTCCAACTAGTGCTCAGGCACAGAAATACTGAACATTCCACACAATTGGGCTACATATAAACCGTTTCACCTTTAGACGCAAGAACATTCACACTACCATTCAAAGCTTAATGAATACCCATCCAAGGGAAATACTGGACATTCCGAACCATCAAAACCATTCACCTTAATTGAAAAGCCATTCACACCTCCTCCAGTAACCAGGAAGCTCATTCAGCCCTGAGAGGGGGAACAATAGCTTGACAGCCAAAACCAGATTTGGTGGGAGATGATGGGGCCTGCAGCTGGGTATAACTGGGGACCCTATCCCAGCAGTTTGCACCATGATACCAGCAACGCACTCCAATTCCAACTAGGTGTGTGCTCTGAGGTGGGCTCTGTGCGCGCCTGGTGTGAGTGGTTCATGAGAAGAGTTCCAGAGTCCGAACAAGCAGCAGGGCCCGCACGAGAAAGAGTCCTTGAGCCAAAGCCGCGAAGAAGGGAAAGGGGATCGGCCAGACTTACCAATCAAGAGAAAAGTTCCCTTAGACACCTCCGAGTCAAGGACTCTGTGAACCCTCCACACCAAGAGCAACCCTCGCAACCACCAAACATCATCAACCAACCACAAACCTCAACTTGACATCTGAAGGTGATCGAAAGCATTCAGAGACATAAGACACCAACCGGGGCAACACCAGCAACATCCATCACCATCCAAGACTACAATCTGCTCTCAAGGACCACCAAGAAAGGAAAAAAAAAACCCAAGGTACTCACCCGTCAGGCCCAACATGCCTAACTACATCAGTGGACACCACCAGACGGACAGTTAGCTGTACTTGCGGCTCTCCGCGGAGCCCCAGCTACGGCAAAAGACTATGGACAAGAGCCAGTCAAAATCACATTCCACTCCAGGGGTGAACCTAAGGTCATTGAGACCCTCTAACCCAGCTTGACTAGTCTTGAAATAGGGAAAGGTAGCGTTTGGGAGCAAATGACGTAGGGCATCCCTAAGGAAGGGAAACAGGGTGGAATTCGGGTTAAGAAATAATCTCTCTTTCTCTGTCACAACCATTAGGTGACAACCACTTGCTGTAACTATTATCAAGTCTCATCTGTAAGGCTTAACTGGGGGTCAAGTTAACTGTGAGATAGGTCTCAGTCAGTACTAGTTGATTTGATATTCATTTTATCGTATTCCTGTAAATATATTCAATTTGCTTGTTTTTCAATAAAATCAGTGTTTTCTTTGCCTCTGAAGCATCTGCCTCCTGTGTTTTCCACTACACCACATCCCACTACATGAGCCCAGTGTCAGCACCAGGGAGCTGGTGAACAACAAACCAGGCAACACTCCCTGCATGATACACTGAAATTCAAGTGGCACATGATATATAGGGCAGCATGGTGGCACAGTGGTTAGCATTGCTGTCTCACAGTGCCAGGGACCCAAGTTCGATTCCAGCCTCAGGCGACTGTCTGTGTGGAGTTTGCACATTCTCCCCGTGTCTGCGTGGGTTTCCTCTGGGTGCTCTGGTTTCCTCCCACACTCCAAAGATGTGCAGGTTAGGTGGATTGGCCATGCTAAATTGCCCGTAGTGCTCAGGGAGGTGTAGATTAGGTGGGTTATAGGGGGATGGGTCTGGGTGGGATGCTCTGAGGTTCAGTGTGGACTTGTTGGGCCAAAGCACGTGTTTCCACACTGTAGGGATTCTATATCTGGCTTATTACAGACAGGATAAAACCACAGTGAAAAAATTTAATCAAAGATAGAAGGGAAGCACAAAATTCCTGATCAGTTAACCATTAGAAGGAATGCTTCCACCTGCAATGTGTAGTCCTTTCATAACCTCAAACATTTCAATGCTGCATTGACTCAACAAACAAAAACTCAGTTTTTCAATTCAAAACTTTGAACATGAAAGATCACAAGGGTGGTCATGGAGGTTTGTTTTGCAGACTGGAGGCCTGTGACCAGTGGTGTTCCACAGGGATTGGTACTGGGTCCACTTTTATTTGTCTTTTATATAAATAATTTGGATGAGAATATAGGAGGCATGGTTAGTAAATTTGCAGATGGCACCAAAAAATGGTGGTATAATGGTCACTGAAGACTACTTGAGATTACAAAGAGATCTTGATCAACTGATGGCAGATGGAGTTTAATTTGGATAAATATGAGGTATTACATTTTGGTAAAACAAAAAAGGGCACAGCTTAATCAATTAATGGTAGGGCCTTGGGTAGTGTTGTAAAACAGAGAGACTTAGGGGTTCAGGTACATAATTCTTTGAAATTGGCATCACAGGTAGACAGGAAGGTTAGGAAGTCATTTAGGACGATTGCCTTTATTGCTCAGACCATTGAGTACAGGAGTGGGGTCATGTTGAAGACATTGGTGAGGCCTCTTCTGGAGTACTGTGTGTATTTCTGGTTACCCTGCTCTAGGAAGGATATTATTAAACTGGCGACATTTCAGAAAAGATTTATCAGGTTGTTGCTGAGAATGCAGGGTTTGAGTTATGGGGAGAGGCTGGGACTTTTTCACTGGAACATAGGAAATTGAGAGTGACATTAGAAAGGTTCATAAAATCCTGAGGTACATAGATAAGGTGAATAGCAAGGGTCTTTTCCCCAGGGTGGGGGAATTCAAAACTAGCGGGCATACTTTAAAGGTAAAAGGAGAAAGCTTTGAAAAGGACATGAGGGGCAACACTTTTTTTCTACACAGGGAGTGGTTTGTGTGTGCAATGAACTGCCAGAGAAAACAATGGATGCAGATACAGTTATAACATTTAAAAGGTATTTGAATAAATACATGAATAGGAAACATTTGGAGGGATATGGACCAAACATATGCAGGTGGGAATAGTTTAGTTTGGAAACATGATTGGCGTGGACCAGTTGGACTGAAAGGTCTGTTTCCATGCTGTATGACTCTAAGACTCCAAGTCAAAACCCTTTAACCTTGCTTCCTTTCAGTTTTACATGTACCAGGATTTAACATTAATGGCCATAAATGTAAGATTAAATGCAAAAGATATATAACAGAGAAGGATTAAAAATTCTTTACGCAGAAACATAAATATTTGAATTTATGTAGCATCTTTCACAACATCAGAATGGTACAAAGACTAAATAACCAATGGAATATGTTTGACATATAATCATTGTTATAACATTTATAAAACACAAGAGCAACTTGACCATCAGAACCCAGAAACAGCAATATGATAACAGCCAGGTAATTAGATTTTAGGTTATTTGTTGAGGGATAAATATTAGCCAGGGCACCAGGAGAATGTCTCAATTTTTCTTCAAAAAATGTCTGTCATACCTTTTACATTGACTTGAAAGGACAAATCAGATCAGGTCTCAGTTCAAATCCTCAATTTAGAGGTGGCCCCATTACAATGCAACACTTCCTCAGTACTGCACTGACACTTCAGCATCCATTTTTTACTTGGATTTCTAGCATTGGGTTTGAACTTTCCAAACTTCTAAGTCTGAAAGAACAACACTGCCAATGAGCCATAGCTGCAAATTATTACGTGACATGAAGTTATAAAATCGGTCCCAAAACTAGTAGTTGAGGCAGAAACAAAGGGTTGCATTTTACAGGGTGCTATGCTTCTCATGCCATTCCCACTCCAACTAAGCCAAAAAGTCAATCAGGAGTCTACCCATGAAGGGTCCCAACCCGAAACGTCAATTTTCCTGCTCCTCTCATGCTGCCTGGCCTGCTGTGTTCCTCCAGCTCCACACTGTGTTGTCTCTGACTCCAGCATCTGCAGTTCCTGCTATCTCTGACCCATATTATACTTGACATAAGTTTGATTGACACAGGGCATGATTTCAACCCTCATCCATCTCATAGAGCTGTCAGATAATCTGAATGGTCAGCAGTGCTTTGTTCAAGCAGCAGCCACCTCTGGGATTATAGACAGTTCCCACGGACGAGGGGGTTATGGAGGCCAGGCTATAGATATGATCAGGGTATCACTAGGACCATGTCAGCAAGTTGCAGTGAGGTGGAGCTAGATTTGAGTAGTGGGAAATTGGAGGGCTAAAGGAGGGCTGTGTTGGGATGTGCTTCTGACCACTTGCTTTGTTTCTCCACTTGTAGCAGGTACAATAATACTGGGAATAACGTAAAGCACTTAATAGACCTTTAATAGATCACTTAAGGGTGCAAAGGTGACTGAGCCACCTGAAAGCTCTATGTTCCTGTTAAATGGGAGGCTGGCTGTGAATGGGTGGATGGGATAAATGGCATGCATGCCACATGTTGCATTTTACAAACGTTACCCAAACTTCGAGTAGGAGTGCAAAATCGAGGTCAAAGGGAACATTCAAGATTAGGTTGGAATAGATGGATGAAGGAAAGAGAGATAAAGAGATATTGCAACAGGTAAGATAAAGATAATTTAATCTGTTAACCTTCCTGATAGGCAACTCCAGCACAGATTCGTTGGACCTACCCGGATTGCTCTGAATTGGAGGGTTTATTTAAATATTTACAAATTGATCAAGATTTCTTGAACATTGGAAAGCTTTCCTCACCTTTATCTTTTTTCTCTTTGGAAAGAGCATCTTTCTTTCGTCGGAAAGATTTCCTCCTTTTTGGCCCATCTGGAAAGACAGGATTTTATCAGTTGTTAGTAACTGGAAGCTGTGAACATCAATAGAGAATATGCATAGGGATGAAAAAACCTGGGCAACTAAGTAGTTGCTAAAACACAGACTGAATGCATGAATCTAAGAAACTGGGAACATCCTGAATTATATCAGCTTTCCTCAGATGTTTAAAATTTTCTGGTGGCATATAAACTTTAAAACTTCAGAACTTCCTTACAACCATAACAAAGAAAAACAATTACCCAAGCAGAATTCCTCCCCAAGAGAACCTTCACAATCAAAATCCATAGGAAAAGTGTTTCCAGTAAGGTCATATGTAAAAGCAGATGTTAAGGCTAAAATTTAGACACATTCCAAGAATTAATTAAAATAAAATAGAAATTTATACCTGCAAATTCTTTTGTTCTCCCTACAGAAATTATTGACATTTTTCCACAACTTTGAATATATTTTGACACTATGCACTACTGAAGCTTTCATTCACTCTTAAGAACAATCATGTTCTTTATTTAATTGCATTTACACTGAAAGGTAATCTTTATTAATTGCACTGAAAAGCAACAACATAGATATAACTTGACATCCCAACTGGTAATCAATCAGCACAATTGTCATTAATAAATATTGAATGCAATATTAAGCTTTTGAATTTCGCATCATTTGATTTCACTTCACAGCTGCAAACCTGACCACATGAGAAACTAAGATAAAATTTGCTCCATACCTACTAAAATCAGCAATACTCTCTCATGGATTTTTCTTAGTTGCAATTGTTATATCATGTACTGTGTAGAGTTTTTAAACAGGTAGTGTGCAGATCATGAAATGGAGTTGTGAACAAATACTTCCCTTTTCAATTATCTGATTGTATATATGGATGGCCATGTGTATCTCTTACGATGTTCCCTTTGTTAATGGTTCTGCTATCAGTACCACTCTTTCCCCATCTCACATCACCCAAGGTAAACTTATCCAGTTGAACTTATTGTTTGTAAACCGCCCAGAAGAAAAAAGCAGCTTGAACCAGCGATTTAACATGTTCTCTTGCATACAGTCATAGAGTCATACAGCATGGAAACAGGCTTTTGGGCCCAACTTATCCAAGCCAACCAGGTTTCCTAAACTGAATTAGTTTTAATTACCTGCAATTAGCCCATATTCGTCTATTGAAAAGTACCTCAAGTTTATCTGAAGAGGGCCAGAAAGATCCTGCAATGTTAATGAAAATGCTAGCTACCTGTGAGAGTCTATTTTAGAATGCATCACTTAGAATTAATGTCCTACAGGCAGAATCCACAGGTATCAACAGATCGCTTTGTCAGTAGATGCTATAACAAGGGCAACGAATATGATGCTTCAAAGGCTGAATTGTCAGTGAAGATAAGAAAGCCTCAATAACTATTGAAGCATTCCAAAACAAAACTCCAAGAAAAAAATGAAAGGTCACAGCATTCCTAACAAATGACTGAAAACCTGAAACTATTGCATCCAGCTGTCTGTATCTACAAGTATTAAGTGCAGCAAACATTGATAATTGGCCATGTTTCAGGGCACAAAGGCAAGCAAACTGTGCGCTAAATGCAGTCTAATCACGCCAATCACAAGGCCGCCCTGCATTCCAATATGTGCCTTCAACACTATTATCCCCTCCAGACTGATATCAAAACTGCGTGACCTCGGTCTCGGCTGCAATTGGATCCTCATCTTTCTGACCTATAGATGACAATCAGTGAGGATAGATAACTGCGCCTCCTCCACAATAATACTCAACACTGGAGCCCCCCAAGGATGTGTCCTCAGCCCCCTACTGTACTCCCTGTACACCCACGGCTGTGTTGCCAAATTCCAAATGTATAGCATCTACAAGTTCGCTGACAACACCATCATAATGGGATGGATATCTAACCATGATGAGTCAAAATACAGAAGAGAGAGAGAGAGTGCGAGGTGACGTGATGCAATGAAAACAATCTGTCTCTCAACGTCGGCAAAACTAAAGAACTGATCATTGACTTCAGAAAGAAAGGAGGAGAACATGCCCCCATCTACATCAACGGAACTGAGGTTGAGAGAGTGAAGAGCATGAAGTTCCTTGGAGAGATGATAACCAAAGACCTGTCCTGAATTTCCTACGTAAATGTGACAGTCAAGAAGGCACAACAACACCTCTCCTTCCTCATGCGACTCGGGAAATTTGGCATGTCCATAAGGTCGCTCACCAACTTCTACAGATGCACCATTGAAAGCATAATGTCCGGATGCATAATGGCCTGGTATGGCAACTGCTCTGCCCAGAACCGTTTGAAACTACAGAAGGTGCTGTGCACAGCCCAGACGATCACAGAAGCCAACCTTCCATCCATGCACTCTATTTACACTGCTCGCTGCCAACATCATCAAAGACCCATCATACCCTCGTAATGACCTCCTACAACCTCTTCCGTCGGGTAGAAGATACAGAAGCCTGAACGCACGCACAAGCAGGTTCAGGAACAGCTTCTTTCTGGCTGTTATCAGACTGTTTAATGGACTGTAGCCTCAAATAATGTAACCTGCAATGTAACCTGTATGCTTTGAAGCCTTTTTGATCTGTACATCCTTTGCTTGCTGTGATCTGCCTGTACCGCTCATAAACAAAACTTTTCACTGTATTTCGGTACACATGACAGTAAAATCAACCAATCAATAAAGAAAAGGACACTGGAGCCATGAATGGGTCACAAAAATTCCATACATGAGCAAGTCAGTGGAAACCAATCATAAACCATTGGAAACGATTGGTCGAGAACCACTGACAAATGCATCATCAAGACTTCAATGAATTCTCGTAAAAGTTCAGGAATTTGACTTTGAAGTTTACTACAAACCTGGTGCCAAAATGGTCATTTCAGCAGAGCAGATTGCCAAAAAATGAAAAATGGTGAAGATATTCCATTGGATGCTCTGGTGGAGACGAGATGGTGCTGAAGAGTGGTGACTTTTGTTCCAGCGGCAATGGCATGGTAAATTGGATTTGTGCCTGGCCACCAGGCCCATGGCCCATTATGAAGCACTTAACAAGGAGGACTGTAAAATTGAACACTTTTTCTTTATTTCTTTACTTTTCTGACTTTATGTGTTCTATATTTTGGTTTATTTTTCTGTGTTTTAAGATGGTGCCAGAGAATGGTGACACTATCCAACACTTTCACTGTATTTTGTAACAAAATACACATGACAGTAAATAAATCAAATATCAAACTGGATCAAAAAGTCGAAACTGAAAAACTGTGGATGCTGTAAACAAAAGAACAAAACAACAGAAACAAAAACAGAAGTTGCTGGAAAAGCTCAGCAGGCCTGGCAGCATCTGTGAAGAGAAATCAGAATTAATGTTTCAGGTCTGGTGACCATTCCTCAGAATGGAGGAAGGGCCAAAACTGAGAAAGTTCTGAGGAAGGGTCACTGGACCTGTAACGTTAACCCTGATTTCTCTTCACAGATCCTGCTCGACCTGCTGAGCTTTTCCAGCAACTTCTGTTTTTGCTTTGGATCAATAGGTCAATATTATGGACATCAAGGTAGAAGATATGCTCAAAATTGATCTATTTCATATTGGTCAGTATAGATGTGACCAGCTTCAACTGGAAACAGCTAATGATACATAACTGAAGGCAGTGTGGAAAAATTATCATTGTGTGGTGGCCTGACAAAATAAAAAAGGTGCCAGATACTTTATGAAGCTTTTGGCCCGAGAGAGGTAAACTCAGTATCTCAATAGGTGTTACCTTAAAGGAAAAAAGTAGTTGTGCTTGAAACTCTCCACCAGGAGATACTGTCACAACTATCCCAAAGTAATATGGGCACAATATGGATGAGATGACTGGCACGTGATACAGTCAATTGGTCAGGGATTCATGGTGTTTGTTGAATTGTTAATGAGGATGTCTGGAGCATGCCTGAGCTATCACCACAACACCACAGGGAATCTCTTTGCCCGAATGAAATTCTGTCAGTTCTTAGGTTCAAAATTGCCACTGATGCATTTACAATGAATGGAGAGGACTGAACCACTGATTATTTCTCCAAATTTCTAATTGTCAGACACTACACGTGTGTCCCCAACAGACAAATTAAGTGTCAGATTCAGCACCTGAAGAAATCACTTCAAACAATGGCCCAGATATACAAACAGGAAGATTTGGACAGAACAGAGCATGAATGGTATGACATCCTCACAACATTACCCTCAGGCAAATGACCTCACTGAGTGAATAGTTTGCTCTGTTATGTCACTCGTTATGAAGTGTAAGGCAACAATACAAGATCTATGTGTCTCAATTTTACACTTCAGAGCCATTCCTCTGGATTTGTGGTTACCATCATGAGCAGAGATCTTGCCACGTAACCACCCAACCAAATTTTCCAAAATGCAGAATGCACTTGACAACAACCAAAGAAGGTGAAGATGTTTCATGACTGCCATTCAGGTATGGAATGACTTCAACCACATGGGGTGGCACAGTGGTTAGCACTACTGCCTCACAGTGCCAGGGACACAGGTTCAATTCCAGCTTTGCGCGACTGTGCAAACTCCACACAGACATTCTCCCAGTTGTGCTCTCATTGGAGAGGGATGACTGGTGGTGGTTTAACCCGAGGGTCACCATGTCTCATGTAAGGAGATAGGTTGAGAAGGAGACTCCTTCATGGTAACCCCAGCCAATGTAGAAATTGAACTCTGCATCACAAACCAGCCATTTACAGAAGTGTAATAGGACACCAGGCCAATGTGTGGGAAGGGTGACTCTGACACGTGACTAGTTACGGAACTGGATATGAGGTGACAAAACAAGTGGTGGTACTTGAGCTGGCAGAGTGTGACTGGGCTGCCACTTCCATGGTGAAGAGTTCCACCAGCCTCTCCCGTACCCTGAGAGAGAATTTCTCCTGGATAGAATAACCCTGAATTCTCTTGGATTCTGCTCAGTTCTCCCCCTGGATTTTTCCTTGAT